TACATCATAACATCCACCAAGATGTCTTTCCTTTTCAGCTAGTCTACCTACTTGAGCATTAAAGTCACCTGCCATTATTACTACATCAGAGCGCCTAGCTTGTTGGAGGAGGTCCGAAAGCTTTCTGTATAACTCATCTTTAACCTCGTCTGAACTGCAGTCAGTGGGGGCATAGGCAGATATGACGAAGAGGCAACGGCTAGTGTCCCTATCCTTCCGAGCCCTTACTGTCCCGTTTAGTCGGACAGCGCACAAACGACTATCTACTGGGATCCAGTCTAGGAGAGATAATTCTGCCCTAGGACTTAACGCTATGCCTACCCCAGCAAGACCCCTGGAAGCAGCATCAGGGCTACCGGATACACGAAGAGTGAATCGGGCTGCTTCTTCGTTTTGACGAGGTGGAATCAGGTTAATGACTTTACTAGGATCCTGTATGCGCGTTTCCGAGACGCAGCATACATCGATGGCACGAGTTTCTAAAGTCCTAGCTAATGATGCCTGTTGCCCTATTCGACACAATGTCCGTACATTAAAAGCTCCAACATGTAGTCGAGAACGGGGTTTCAGGAGACCAGGAACGACGTTTCGTGATCTCGCTTCGTCTGCATTAGCGGTGCAGTGAGAAAGGGGAGTATGAGTAGAGTTAGTCGTAGCGATAAGAGAGACATTAGGGGGTGTAGGAAGGATTTGATTTTGACCAATTCGGTCGCGCGTGCTGTTACAGGTATGAGGGCAGTTGTCACTTCCCACCTGCCCACACCGTGGAAGGTTGTTTCTTGAGGGACCTGAAAAGGAAGATGGATTAGTGTTGGTGCGTGACCGCAGAGCCCAAGGGACAACTGCTTGAGGCCGGTCACGCACGGCCTTTTATGACAGGTATTTTGAGGATTAGCTCCGTTCTTAAAGGCCCTTAGTGGGCACCCCTACCGCCGGAGACGGAAATCCGTGAGGTAGGGGAGGTGTGACATTCTTAGGGTCGACCTTTTCTAACTCTTCGTTCCTTGTGAGAAGGCAGCATCGCTGCAGATGCTGGTTGTCCGAGGGAAACACCTTACTGCTGTCACACCCCTCTGCAGTCAGCATTACGACTTCGCCCTCAGACCTTGAGTAGCTGCTTTTAGTCTCGTCGTTCTCCGATCGACCTGCCTAGCATGGTAGAACCTTCAGGAACATATGTTCTAGCCAATATATCGCGGTTGGGTAATCACGATAGGCAAGCCCGACCACCACGTCAAGGTAGCAGCTTCGGTCGGGAGTGAAAGTATCAGCAGTGATCGGAGGATATTATTCAAGATATTATTCAAGAAGTAGAATCTAGTGAAACAAACATAAAAAAAATAGGTGATGAGGAGACCAAATTGTTCAAGATCAAATCTTTCCTACATTCCCTAATACCTCTCCTATCTCCACAACTAACTCTTCTCACATTCATTTATTACAGTGCACAACTAATGCAAACGATGCGAGTTTGCGAAATGTCTTTCCTGGTCTCCTTAAACCCCGTTCCAAACTACATGTTGGAGCATTCAATGTACGGACATTGTGTCAAATAGGGCAACAGGCATCATTAGCTAGGACTTTAGAATCTCGTTCCATCGATGTGTGCTGCGTCTCGGAAACGCGCATACAGGATCCGAGTAGCATCACTCATTTGACCTCACCATGTCAAGATAAAGAAGCAGCTCGATTTACCCTTCGTGTATCCGGTAGCCCTGATGCTGCTTCTAAGGGCCTCGCCGGTGTAGGTATAGCATTGAGTCGTAGGGCAGAACAATCTCTCCTTGACTGGATCCCAGTAGATAGTCGTTTGTGCGCTGTCCGACTGAACGAGACGGTAAGGACTCGGAAAGATAGGGACACTCGCCGTTGCCTCTTCGTCATATCAGCCTACGCCCCCACTGACTGCAGCCCAGATGATGTAAATGATGAGTTTTACAGAAAGCTTTCGGACCTCCTCCGAAAAGTTAAGCGATCTGATATAGTTATAATGGCTGGTGACTTCAATGCACAAGTAGGTAGACTAAGTGAAAATGAAAGACATCTAGGTGGATGTTACGGTCTCGCGGCACAAAGAACAAACAATGGTGACCGTCTGTTGCAACTGTGCTCAGATAACCAACTATTTCTAGCAAACACTAATTTTAAGCATAAGGAAAAACACCTTTTGATCTGGAGACCCCCGAAGTCGTCTCAACGTTGGACACAACTAGATCATATCGCCATCAGCCACCGATGGAGGAGTTCGATAGAGGACTGTCGCTCGTTCTGGGGCACATGTTTGGATTCAGATCATGCTCTAGTGCGAGCACGTATTTGTTTGAGGCTTGCTGGACGTAGGAAAGACACCGTAAGAAAGCCTCTTAGGGCTTTACTTGATGATAATCAAGCTAAGAAAATGTTTCAGGAGGAACTAGAAAAGCAGTAAGGCGGCCATGCAAGTGATTCCCATCCTGAAGCAGGTTGGAATCATATCAAGAAGGCTGTGGAAACAGCAATGGTATCTGCTAGCAAGGTAAACCACAAGGCTAGGATGAAGCAGTGGATTTCAGTCGCATCCACCGAACTGATGGATGCACGAAAACCCATCCCACCTGGCTCTGAACATGATGAAGAACGAAGTCAACTTAGGCGCAGACTTATAAAAAGCCTACATAATGACCGCGAACAGTGGTGGGTGGCGAAAGCAAAAGTGATGGAAAAGGCAGCGGCGATAGGCAACACTAGACAACTTTTCCGCCTTATTTAAGAAACCGGTATTAGGAACCCGAATGTGAGTGAGACTATCTCGGAAAAGGATGGTCTTATTATCCATTCTCAATCCAGGAGACTGGATCGATGGTCAGAACACTTTAGGGACCAGTTCAAGTGGTTTTCAGCCACACTTCGGTTGCCCACGATCTCCAGTCATCCTGAATGGCAAATCGATTTAAGTCCTCCCAATTTACATGAAGTTGAGAAAGCTATAGGAAATCTAAGGGGAGGTAGAGCGGCAGGTCCCGATAGGCTTACCCCTGAGATATTTAAGGATGGTGGTCCAGTTTTAACGGTTAGACTGACCGAGATCCTAGGTAGAATCTGGGAAATGGACGTAATCCCATCTGACTGGTCTCAGTCGCTAATTGTCCCAATCTACAAGAAAGGACAGAAGTCCTCTTGTGACAATCACAGGGGAATAAGTTTAACTAATATAGTTTCTAAATTGTTAGCCTCGATTATACTTAGACGTCTAACTAGAGCTCGTGAAGAGCAGACTCGAGAAAACCAGGCTGGTTTTCGACCTGGATGTGGTTGTATAGACCACATCATCACACTAAGACAGGTCCTGGAACACAGACACACACTTAGACGTCCGACAATAGTCGTGTTCCTGGACCTTAAGGCGGCATTCGACTCAGTGGATCGTGAGGTTCTGTGGCAGTGTTTGTCATTGAAAGGTGTACCAAAGAAGTACATTAACCTTATACGAGCTTTCTACTCAAACACCACTGGTCAGGTGAGAGCATATGGCGAACTGTCATCTGAATTCTCTACATCAAGTGGTGTCCGTCAGGGATGTCCACTCTATCCATTCTTGTTTAACTTTGTCGTAGTCATCCTCTTAGAGTTAACATTAAGCTCGTCAGATTTTTCAGGGGTTGACCTTCTACCAGGAAAGTCGCTTACTGATCTAGAATATACCGATGACATAGTTCTATTCGGTGAAGACACTAACAAAATGCAGAGTCTTCTGACTATCATAAGCAACAATGCGAGCATGTTCGGGATGCGGTTTTCCCCCTCGAAATGCAAAATGTTGCTTCAAGATTGGGTTGCATCAACACCTGAACTAGTGATAGGGAGTGAAGTAGTCGAGCGTGCTGATCACTTCACTTATCTTGGGAGTCTCATCAGTGCTGACGGTCTGGTGACTGACGAAATCTCAGCTCGGATACAGAAAGCTCGATTGGCTTTTGCCAACCTGCGTCACTTATGGCGTAGGCGTGATATCCGTTCGCTAACCAAAGGGCGGGTGTACTGCGCAGCAGTTCGTTCCGTTCTCTTATATGGCTGTGAAACATGGCCGTTAAGAGTAGAAGATGTTCGTAGGTTACTAGTATTCGATCATAGATGTTTAAGAAGCATTGCTCGTATATCGTGGGACAGCCGAGTGAGTAATGCTGTCATTAGGAAACGAGTACTAGGTAAGGATTGGAGAGCAATCGATGAAGTGGTGAAACTTCATCAGTTGAGGTGGTTGGGACATGTCTTGTGTATGGCTAACCACCGACTGCCTCGACGAGCTATGTTTTGTGGTGTAGGGGTAGGTTGGAAGAAAGTTAGGGGCGGCCAGACCAAAACATGGCACAAATCCATGAAGTCACTGACAAGTGGACTGAGTCATGTTGGTAGATGTAGAGTACCTGGTTGGGGTCCGCGAGACGAAAGTCATCAATGGTTAGAGACCTTGAACAACATGGCTCAAAATCGTTAGCAATGGCGCAGATGCATCCACTCTTCGAGCTCTCTCAAATCCTAATCTTCTGGATTAGCCAGCACCTCTACCTTTGTCTTTCTAACCTTATGTCACTGAATTATATTTTTTGAATAATATCTTCGAATCCTAGTCTTCTTTATTAACATTAATACCTCTATTATCTTTATCACTATGGGATTTGATTTGACATTTGCGTCTCTGTGCTAATAATGTGGTATGGCAACATGAACTTATGTACATACGTACGAAGTTCTACGTTGCAACTGACTGACTGACTGACTGATACTTTCACTACCTCTGCTACTATGGGATTTGAAGTGATAATCGCATCTCTGTGCTAATGTGGTATGGCAACGTGAAGTGATGTACGTACGTACGAAGTTCTATGTTGTTGTTGACTGACTGACTAACTATATTACGTGGATAGAACTACTTTTACTTCTGAATGCATTACCGAACTGATATCTTCAGCGACTGTTCAAATACAACTCCTCCATTAAGCCTACGTGAAGAACAACAAGGATAGAGACTGAAAAGTTTATTATTAAGTGGTTAATTATATACAAAGCAGTTTATTGACAAAGAATTATTTCTTTTTAGAAGGGCGTGAAATCTTATTCTTTTTCGTTTTTCTAGCCACTAACTTATTCGGTTTACTCTTTTTAGTACTTTGGACAACTTGACTCAATGGAATTCTTTTCTTAGATCGTTTTCTATAATTAAATAAATATTATGCAGAATAAAAAATAAACTTACTCGACATTCTTAGAAAGCTTTCGGCTATCCAATGGGGCAGAAAAACGACCCATTGATGCATCAGAGTTCTGTGCAATTGCAAAAGCACGTGATAGTTCAGTTTTAGATGACTGTGATTCAGTTAAGACACCAATAGGAGGAGCTAATAAAAGAAGATTAAATGTTATTAAGCCTTGAGTTTTATAACTATATATATATATATATATATATATATATATATATATATATATATATATATATATATATACTGCGTTGTTGCAGCCTCTGTACCAAACAGAACTGTACTTTCTGTGTATTCTATACTGATAAGTGAATCTCTTAGTAGATCAATCATTGGAAACTCAGAATAAAGTATTATCACTAAAAGAATATTTATGGCAAAGTTAAATAAAAATGGGAAGAGTAAACAGTCCTCATGAACACTAACAAAAACTCTCAATTCTGACGATAGTTCATTACAAGACCTAGCACAACTATCGGTGTTTTGGAAGATCTTTAAATAGATTACTATAAAACGTACCGACTAACAGATGAAGAAATACAACTATAGTTGAAAAGTATGTCTACGTTTCAGAATCTACAGGGGGATATTTGATCGATATATTTACGTCTAGGTTTGAAACCAGCGAGATTTTCTCGGCTCTTCTCTTTACGTGTCCTAGTTAGGCTTCAGAGCCTAATATTTAAGACTTACTTACTTACTTACGCCTGTTACCCCCAATGGAGCATAGGCCGCTCACCAGTTTTCTCCAACCAACTCTGTCCTGGGCTTCCCTCTCCAGTTCTGTCCAATGTTTGTTCATTCCTCTCATATCTTTCTCCATTTCTCGGCGTAATGTATTCTTTGGCCTTCCTCTTTTCCTTTTGCCTTGAGGGTTCCATGTGAGGGCTTGTCTTGTGACGCAGTTAGGTGCTTTTCGTAGTGTGTGTCCTATCCACTTCCACCGCTTCTTCCTGATTTCCTCGTCCACTGGAATCTGGTTTGTCCCCTCCCACAGTTCGTTGTTGCTGATGGTGTCCGGCCAACGAATCCGAAGTATTTTGCGTAGACAACTGTTAATAAATACTTGTATCAAGACGCTAAATTAATAAAACTGACTCCTTTATGGTTATTGCAAGAACCCTGGCTAGTTGGAGCAATGAAGATTCCCAATCATTCGAAGTAGTAAATTCTTTTAAACATCTCATTATCTGTAATATATGGCAGATATCCTTTACCTGATAGCCATTTCGATACATACCTTGTTCTTGATGTATCAGATTTGGGGCCTCCGATTCGGCACCTTTGCCAAAAATTACTGGTTTATTTATAATAACTATGAAGAATCCAAATTCAGCATACGCATTCATCCAGTCTAGTTAAACAGACGTATTTTCAAAATTATGCTCTATGGTAGCATGATTACATAACTTCGAGCTAAAATTCATACAATTTGTAGCAAACCATGTAGTAGATCAATGAAATCTAAATGATTTAAGGTATGATAGGTGAAGAGCATTAGCAATGCAGAACAAGGCCAGTGAGTTGCTCTTAATATACTAGAAACAACTTCCAAGCATCAAAGTGTGGGCTGACTATTAGGGTTAATCTAGTGCAAAAAGTGAATATAATTGACAGGAACAAACAATGAACCGTAAAGAATCTTTAAAGAAAACCCTTATGGCGAAAATAGATGTACTCGTTCTGTACCTGCTCCTAAATCCTAGTGTAATTCCATATACTTCGTTGTCTTATGTTGTCACGTTAAAAGTTCTCTATTTATTTTTCCACTACCTTTACTATTATTTTTGAATTTTTAAACTTAGTCGATTTCTAGTCGGTGTTGATTAGTATAGTGACTTGAATTAATATAGACTTGTATCAGGTCCTGTGTTGTTTACGTCTGAAATTAGTTTAAATGGTTACTTTGAAATGACTGAGAATAAGGTATTAACTAACGTAATGTCAGGGTACACTAAGACTCACAGACTACCGAGTGCTTCTATTCAAGGAAATCTTGAACAAAAAAACAGTTCAGGAAATATTTGTAAATCTAGGTCTCTTATCCATGGTGACGTAGTCCGATAATTAGACAAAAAGTTTGCTACAGGGCGAACTGGTCTAAACAATTTCTCTGAGAAAACAGCAGTCAATAACTAACCTTGTCCTGCTTTGACAGTTCGGGCAATATTACGGAGACGCTGAAGCTCATTTTTGGCTTTACGTTCCTTTCTAGCTTGAGATAATTTGGCAAATTGGTCCTCATATGGATCTGATACAGCGAAATTTGAGCCAACAACGTTTATTTACCTGCGTTATCTGGGACTTCCAGTACCCACTTGTCTTTAATATCATCAACCCGATTTTTACCCCATCTTGGTTTCCATGATTCAGATTCAGGATCCCAAACTTTGCGAGACTTTTTGTGATTCTGAATTCCTTTCAGGCGTGCGAATCTGTCCCATCTCGTAAGTTCTTTGGGCGAAGGGATCTACATGATATTTGTAGTCAGAAAGAAACGCCAACCTTTTTCTCTCTGGGGAGACGGAAAGTAGGTTTTGGAAGCTGAAAAACATATTGAAAAGGTCGTCTATACATAGATTTTGCAGAAGAATGAAGTGTTTAACGTGGAAATTTGAAAAACCTTTTCATGGCAAGTGTTCTTTACAGAAGCAGAAGTTACCTATTAAATATGATATCTGATATGCCCCCATTTTTCTTATTTTTCTAGAAAAATGAACGTACGAAACACTAAGAAAGTTTACGAGCACGAAAACAACTACTTGAGTGCTGACTACCGATTTTACCATAGAATAATTCACCACTGAAAATACCCACCTTAAAATGTGATTTAGGCCTGTATATCAATGTATTCAAAAGGAATTCAAATTAACTAAGTTGTTTTGATCATCAAGATCAACAAACACCAACTGGCAGTACTATCTAAACTGAAAAAAAATAATTCATTAAACAGTACCGAGACATTGTTGAATAAACCAGTTGTCGCCTAAAACAGAACTTTGGTATGGCAAGAAAGTGGTAGAAGTTTGTTGTTTGGACTAAACGGCATACTACGGGAAATCTCATGACTTCGGTAGGCTGTTAGGAAACTTGTCATAAAATACAGTCAAAAAGTCGGAATACTTGCTGTTGAGGAGTAGATATTCTGCTGTAAAAGAGTACTGCTCACAAACTTGGAATTTTTGGAGCACTATTTCACCTGAACTAACCATAACATTTTCTGTTATTGAGAAATGTTTTCAAACCGGTAGCGCTTGTGGAAAGGTGACAGATACCTTGTGAAAAGTAGAGAACAGCTACTCACACGATCCCAGAATTTTGAGTGTTCTCATACACAGGACGGCCTCAAAAGCTAAACATCCTAATTATCTTATCACATGTTAGGTAAGATTGTTCCAACGTACAGAATACCAAGACGCGATTTTGGATCTGACATCTTTTTTTCCTAACAGAGTAGGAAAACTCCGGTGGAGTGAAATCCAAAGACAAGTAAAATTCCCACGGTATGATAACATAGGATCCCGATCATTTAGGTTAGAATGATTATCAAAAGTCATCGATACGGTAGACTGGTGATTAGATAAACCCTTAGTAACAGCAAATGTATGTCGTCCACCAGCTTTCTAGAGTTCCCTAACCCTTAGTTGGCCTGTTCATAAAGAAACTTACAACTTGCTGAAGCTAACTAGATATATACCGACAACTTTCTGTCCTTATGCACATACCAGCATATTATATGGTCAAAGAAAGGTCAACCAAAAATATTGGTCACTTTGTCAAAAGTAAACAAAGATAACTACGACTACTAAAGAACTGGGAGATCAAGTGCCTTTAAAATAATGGAGTGTTTAGACTCGCTTTGAAATGGCTAATAGGATTATTCTCAAACTTATTCACCATAAAAAAGCAGTTTAGTTTAAAAATCTCACTCACAATGGAAACTGCAACAGAGTCACTTATTTCCGTCGGTAGCTGGAATAAACCATTAGAATAAAATTAAATTACTTCGAAAAAAAGCTTAAAGAAATGATGGGTACAATCGAGAGAAATAGATAGATAGTGATCATCATCCAAAGACGTGACTGCTGAAATGATGGTTGGAATTAATTCTGTCTGCCATACCTTCATTAAACTGATTCAAGGGACACTTATCTTCAACAAGTAGATTCCCTAAATCCACTTCAGCAAGTTGAGATCTATAAGACATCACGGTAGAGTGAAAAGTCAAACGTAGCGCTCCAATATCCAATACTTTAGTCACAATATCCAATATCTTTTTCACGAGCAAGTGTAAACCAATTTGATTTCTTCGCTCTCAATTCCTAATCCTTCGGTACAGTCCCAAGTCTCTGGTAGTGTCGATTGGGTGCACGTCTATCCATTCGGCTGCCTAATTTTACCCAGTCGGCAGTTGTTTGAATGTGTACATTTGTTTCAGGAAAGTAGTTTCCGGATATCAGCAGCTATTACCAGGCCAGAGCTCAGTTAGTTGCAGGGTGGAGAGTAATAAGGAGAAAGTTCTAATGCTAATAAGGATCAGATATTAGAACTAAGTAAATGAAAGAATAATTTGTTTATTGGTATTGAAGATAGTGCGAGACTACCAAAGTGTAAGCAAAGTAGAAGAAACAGAGATAATAAGCGAGATGATTAGGTTGGTGATCTGACGAGACGAAAATAATAACGACTAGAAGGTCCAAAGACATACATCAGGTATGGCTTGTCCACGAGGGAGGTGATAATCCGTATGTGAATATGTGTAAATCAAGTTTCTTCTTAAACCTGAGCATAGCTATAAAACCTATATTCATACTTCTTCTCCCTCACATTACGCAGCAATCAACCTACTAGATGTCCATCGTGCTTCACTAAACGAAATGTAATCACCCTACATATCACCAATGCTTATTAATTCCCGACCTTTAATCAGTGTGATGACTCACTTACTCTGAATGGTAATTTAAAACAACCCTTCACTTGTCCTGAATACTGAAAGTTGGTTTTCCTCCGATTTTCCAGACTGATACCTGCCAACAGAAACTAACGAACTCTTTCGCGGTGACCAAGGCTTTAAGAAGGGAGTTGGTTGTCTCATCGATGTAACTAGAAACATTAAAACAGAAACGTTTAGTGATATTGTTCTTAATAATGTGCCTGATTAGATATGACTCACTGTGAAGCCCATGAGTATAAATTACTGATTGGATGCATATGTCGAGTTCCAAACACTCATCGATCGAATGACATTGATACTGGTGAGTCACTTGCCAGGATTGCCAATTGAATTCATCTGCAAAATTATTTGTGGTGACTTCAACCTTCCTGGAATCAAATGGCAGACATATCTCGGTCCACTTCTCTTTGAAAGCATACCTAGTCCCTTAGACACACACGGTTAACAACAACATGAACACCTGCCTACTAGAAACAACAATATTCTCGACTTTGTATTTTGTCATGATATTACGCCAACATCTCTGGCGGTCTGCAAAATGTTTCACAACAGTGACCATACAATTGTTCTCTGCACCCTATCGTTTCTTGCGAAATGCGACAAGACAATGACGCGTTTTTAATACAGAGACTATGAACACGCTGACTGAGACAGCTTCTAGTTTCTAATCCAGCACTCCGACTGGAATGTGTTACTTACTAGTCTTGAACTCCCTGGAGCATTACATGTATTTAATGTCACCATTAATTATGCGCTAGATACTACTATACCCTTTAGAACGTCTTTATATAATCTATAAAATTAAGGCTAAGCTACGTAAAATAATATACAGCATACCAAAGGACTTCAGCATTCTGTACGAAATATACGCTGTACTTGATGGTGTAAAAACCAACATGAAGTGCGTAAGCAAATAGGAGAAAATAATGCACTCGCTACTGCATGCAAGCCCCTAAACCTCTGTCGTCTGTTTAACAAAAGCATAAAGAAGAACACAGTTCACAACATTCAGTCTATACTGCATGACTGATAGACTTATTATGAACACTGTTATTTGTGAAGTCTTTAGTACATGATTTTCCCTCAATCAGAACACATACCTCAGCTCAGATTTTAGTCTTATTGTATCAGTTGGAATGATCTCAGTACCATCCGCTTAGAAATTCATGATTAGGGTGATAATTATTTAAGAGAGCCGGGCATTTGGATGTTGGCAAATTGGGGAATAAACAGACCCATTGGTGAGGATTCGAACATCCTGCTGGCATTACTTATATTTTATACTTTGTTGATAAGGTTATTGCACCCCACTGCAGTATAGTGAATGAGCTGAGTCGAGATTGATTATGATCACCACTAAATACTAATTACTAGCCAGTGACTGGGAAGATAAATAAATCCAGTGTAAAGGATATATTTGCTGGTGATTTCGTGGTGTCGAAAGAACACCGAAATTACACCAAAGAAATAGGCGAAACAAAGAGCAGCAACATCAAGATGGCAGTAACACAAACAGAAAGTAGTGCGTAAATAAATGTTGTCAACAAAACGTACAGTTAAGAAAACCTTGGTAGAGTTGGTTGTAATAATTAATGATTTGATTTCACCAATTGCGTTCTCTTCATAAAACTTTTCCACAACAGTAGCTTTCATCAGCAGAGGATAACCATCCTTACTTACTTACTTACGCCTGTTACCCCCAATGGAGCATAGGCCGCTCACCAGTTTTCTCCAACCAACTCTGTCCTGGGCTTCCCTCTCCAGTTCTGTCCAATGTTTGTTCATTCCTCTCATATCTTTCTCCATTTCTCGGCGTAGTGTGTTCCTTGGCCTTCCTCTTTTCCTTTTGCCTTGAGGGTTCCATGTGAGGGCTTGTCTAGTGACGCAGTTAGGTGCTTTTCGTAGTGTATGTCCTATCGACTTCCACGTCTTCTTCCTGATTTCCTCCTCCACTGGAATCTGGTTTGTTCTCTCCCAAAGTAAGTTGTTGCTGATGGTGTCTGGCCAACGAATACGAAGTATTTTGCGTAGACAGCTGTTAATAAACACTTGTATCTTCTGAATGATGGCTTTGGTAGTTCTCCATGTTTCCGCTCCATACAGTAGAACTGTCTTGACATTTGTATTGAAAATCCGGACTTTGGTTTTGGTTGAAAGTTGTTTGGAGTTCCAGATATTTTTCAACTGTAGAAATGCAGCCCTCGCTTTGCCAATCCGCGCCCTCACATCTGCATCCGATCCACCTTTCTCGTCGATGATGCTGCCCAGATATGTGAAGGTGTTAACGTCCTCCAAGGCATCTCCATCAAGAGTGATTTGGTTGGTGCATGTTGTGTTGCATCGGAGAACTTCGCTTTTTCCTTTATGTATGTTGAGACCTACTGCTGCAGAGGCTGCTGCTACACTGGTCGTCTTCTCTTGCATTTGTTGTTGAGTGTGCGATAGAAGAGCCAGGTCATCTGCGAAGTCCAGATCGTCCAGCTGCGTCCTAACTGTCCAGTTGATACCGTGCTTCCCTCCAGATGTTGACGTCTTCATAATCCAGTCGATGACCAGGAGAAAGAGAAAGGGTGAGAGTAAGCAACCTTGCCTGACAGCGGTCTTCACCTCGAAAGAGTCGGTTAGCTGTCCTCCGTGCACGATTTTGCAGTTGAATCCATCATGAGTTCCGTATGATGTTAACTATTTTCTCAGGCACCCCGTAGTGTCGAAGAAGCCTCCGCCAGCAGAACCTTCGGGGCTACTGCTGGTCCCAAGCCCGGGTAAAGGAGGAGGGTTGGACATGGGGTTGGCGACCCCATTCCGTCAAAAACTAACTTGCCAAAAAAACGCTAACCAGAAAAAAAATCATTCAAGAATTTATAGTCAGACAAAAATAAGCCAGACATGTAATAAGCGAGATAGGCGTGCACACACACGAATAAACTGTAAACAATGGATGTGATTGTGAAAGTGGAAAAACTACTGAAAATCTTTGAGAAGGATAAAGTTTCATAGAATTTCGGCCTGTTGTACAAATGCAAGCAAACCACAAATGACAAGATTTATAAAATATTGTTAATTGATTAACCTCCATTGGATTTTTTTCCAATTTTATAGAAGCTAATAATGTTAGGTAAATTCTAATGAGATAACACTTCAAGTATGAAGTATCCATCAGCGATCAATAACTACGAATTCGGAATGTAGTCAAAATTCAATTAGATTCGGAAGAAGGTTCACAAAGAAGAAGAAGAAGAAGGTTTACGAAGAAGAGTCCACAGTGTTTTCCTATCCACGCTATCGAATGCTTTCTCGTAGTCGATGAAGTTGATGTAGAGTGGTGAATTTCATTCAATTTATTGTTCCACAATGATCCGTAATGTAGCAATTTGGTCAGTACATGATCGATCCTTACGAAATCCGGCCTGTTGATCTCGAAGTTGGGCGTCTACGAAGTCCTTCATTCTGTTTAAAAATACTCTGTTGAAAACTTTTCCTGGTATTGAAAGAAGAGTGATGCCTCTGTAGTTCTCACACTTGCTGAGATCGCCTTTCTTTGGTATTTTGATGAGGTACCCTTCTTTCCAATCTGATGGTACTTGTTCCTCATTCCAAATCTTCTTGAAGAGAATGTGAAATATTTTCGCAGTTGCTTCCACATATGCTTTCATTGCCTCTGCTGGAATGTTGTCTGGTCCTGCTGCTTTGCCGCTCTTGATTTGTCTGATGGCTATACTGATCTCCTCAATCGTAGGTGCGCCAATATTAATTGGGAGGTCCGTGGATGCTGCTTTGATGTTGGGTGTGTTCAGTGGAGCTGGTCGATTCAATAGTTCCTTAAAGTGCTCCACCCACCTATTTCGCTGTTCGTCAGTGTTGCTGATTACTTTCCCTTCCTTGCTTTTCACTGGTCGTTCTGGTTTACGATAGTTCCCGGCGAGCTTCTTTGTTGTTTCGTATAATTGTCTCATGTTTCCTTCTCTTGCAGCCTTTTCCGCCGTCATTGCTAGATCTTCCACATATTTTCGTTTGTCAGCTCTGATGCTCTTCTTCACTTCCCTGTTTGCTTCTGTGTGTGCAGCTTGTGCGGTAACTTTCTCTGCTCTTGTTCGGCTGACATTGATTGCTGCCTTCCTGTTCCTTCTTTCTTCAAGTTTTGCACAAGTATCAACAGAGATCCATTCCTGGTGATGGTGCTTCTTGCGACCAAGGACCTCCTGACATGTTGAAGTGATTGCCTCCTTAATCCCTTTCCAATTGCTCTCCAATGTTGCTTCCTCTCCATTGAGTAGATCCTGAAAGACCTGGTACCTATTGGAGAGGGCTATCTTGAATTCGTTGAGTTTTACGGTATCCCGAAGAAAGGCTGTATTAAACTTCTGTGATGTTGTCTGCCCCATTGTCCAGTGCTTCTTTAGCTTCAATCTCATTTTGGCGATCAGCAAGTGGTGATCTGAGGCTATATCAGCTCCTCTCTTGGTTCTCACATTGTAGAATCCTTTTTGAATGTTTTGTTTTTTGGAAAATCCCTCCATGTTTACATATTTTTGTTATGACATGACGGACTTTTTCTGTTGACAGTTTTGGAATTTTATTTGATTCCAATTTGAGATCTTATCATTGTATATTTTTATTATTTCTATATTTTGTACTTATATTGAAGTTTTGTGTTTGCTTCTGATCTGTATATATGTTGTTTAAATTTGATCTTTAATATGGCTACAGCCATATTTGGATTGATACAGTAGCCGTTGGACTTAACGTCACTTATCTATCGTTGTTTCGGATACTCTTCGGAATAATTGTAACCTGGAAGGTGTATTAATTCCAGACGCTTTCTCCTAGAATTTTTGCTTGATCTGGACCTCGGACTGGGAGAAATGAGTTCAGGAGTGCACTTATTGGAACCCATTGGAACTGCTACCGTAGAAATCCATTAACACACATTCTCCATGGTCCTTCTGAACTTTTTGTTGTTACAGATATGGTCAATTTGGTTTTAAGTAGTGTGGTCCGGTGAAATCCATGTGGCTTTGTGAATGCGTTTGTGCGAGAATATTGTGCCACCGATGACCATTTTGTTGAAGGCCTATTGGTTTGCAAATCTCTCACCGTTTTCGTTCCTTTCTCCCAGTCCATGTCGTCCCATGACGTCTTCATATCCAGTGTTGTCCATTCCAACCTTGGCATTCAGGTCATCCATAAGAATCGTCAAATCCTTTGGTGAACATTTCTCGACGATTGACTGCAGCCTTTCGTAGAATTGATCTTTAACGTCGTCATTGTAGTGATTGGTAGGTGCATAACATTGGATGACGTTCATTGTAATGTCTTCTTTCTTTGTTTTGAAGGATGCTTTAATGATCCTGGGTCCATGAGATTCCTATCCTATCAGTGCCTTTTGTGCATGTTTGGACAGCATCAGTGCAACTCCTTGTGTATGTGAAGCATTTTCCTCTTCATGACCAGAGTATAAAAGCAGTTCTCCTGAAGCTAGTCTCAGTTGTCCTGCCTGTGTCCAATGCGTTTCCCTGATACCGAGCACCTCGAGGTTGTATCTTTTCATTTCTGCCGCAACTTGAAATAGTCTTCCAGTTTCCCACAATGTACGAACGTTCCATGTACCTAAAAGAATGGTTGCTCTGGTTGTCAGAAGAGGCATCGGCCCCGTGACTTCCGAGGGAACTCGGCTTTCATCACGCGATGTCCTAATTCTCCCAACTGCCGGGGCAGAGTTAAAATGGTTTGAATTATTTTTTCTGGTTAGCGTTTTTTTTGGCAAATGAGATTTCAATGGAATGGGGTCTCCAACACCATGTCCAACCCTCCTCCTTTATCCGGTCTTGGGACCGGCAGTAGCCCCGAAGGTCCTACTGGCGAAGTTATCCTAAAAAAAATAAACTCGTTATATTATGAAAATACACTGATATAAATTGCAGTTGAAATTTTTGATTTTTAAGTCACTTTCTCCATCTTTTACTTCCGAAGATGGAAGGGTAGATTAGAGGTTAGGGCATTCGATCTTCAGCCAATAAGTCTCAGCTGCGAACCACCTAATTCTGTTGGGGCAGCCAAAGAATACAACTAGCCGTTTTATTTAGAGTGTGGTTCGAACTAAAGTGAGTGGAGTTGAATAAGATTAAAAGTACGCTTACAACAGTCAAGCCACTAAAAAATTAGTAGAAAAAGTTGCAAAATTTTTTACTATTTCTTCTAGCCTTGTGTATCTGTTATGTCCAAACACTGATAATTACTCATAGACAACTTTTAACGTCCATTACACACAAAATTATTACATTGAAATAAGATTAACTTAATACTGAGTTTAAAAATTATTTTGCTTCTTTATTTCGTCGATTGAATTATTGATAAATAGAAATATAAATAAAATCTTCACTATTTCTATGTATATAGTTATTACTAAGTATGTATTTGTTAGGTGTTTAGAGGTGGTCAGCAGGACACACTAAACTTAGGTTTTGTGCCTTTTGGCACTATTCAGCAAAGTGTACTGGTAATCTTGACAGAATTGGTACTCTCTTGGGGATTCGTTCACATGCCTTTTAGCTTCATCGTCTGATATGTCATCAATGAATCATTTAGACTGTGACTGACCTCCTGTAGAAAGAACTAAAATAGTCACAGTTGATTGATCGGTGAGTAGTGACTACTAAAAGGATCAGATAAACTTGACTCAACCGTAAATCGATTAGAAGTGCATACTTACTATTCAGCATCTTATCTATTTAGAATATTACTGTACCTACTAGCGGTATTCACCGGTAAAAGATTTTTTGGTCCTTCTTTTCTGACAAGAAACTATACCAAATAATTTTCTTTTCGGATACATTCCACATGATATTTACAAACAAATAATAAGTATTAGAAGCACAAACATCAACTATAAATATCCGATTTCTAATGAATATATATATATATATATATATATATATATATATATATATATATATATATATATATATTAGTTAGCTATTGTCAAATCTTAACATCAGTATACATTGGAAGATCAGTATTGTGTTGTCTATTTTTTACAATTTAGTATTAGGTTGAAATAAACTGTTGTTTGTTTGATATTTATTAAATCAATAAACAGAATGATTTGATCAGTTCGTTTTTAATTTGTCTTCTATTTTATTCCAGAATTCATCAACAATGAAAAATAATGAATCCAATAATGACAAATGTTGTGATGATTACATTTATATGAATGAGAATTTTCCAGTCCCATTAGATGCAATAGAATTGTCCGATAATAATAATGATAATAATCATTATACAATTAATTACACAAACTATGGAATTGACACATTTCCATCGCCTATATGCTTTGCTTACATTGCACACTTGTTTACTTTGATTAGTGCAATTCTTGACCAGCCAATAATTTATCCTAAAGATTTTCTTGAAATTTATCCTAAATTAAAATTAGTGGATATTTATACTCGTGATATTTCTCAGTCAGATCGTTGGTAAGTTTTGAAATTATTTTTAACCACAAAATGTTTTTATGCTAAAAGACAGTATACATGAAGTATTCAGAAAAAAATTACCTGTTATGTAAGTAATCAGATAAACTTTCATCAAATATCGGTTATTTGGAGAAGCTAGTTGCTTGAAACAAATGGACAAAAAACAAAGTGACTAGCTCTTTTCCACGGTGAAACTTCTTTAAAAAAACAGATCACCAATCTTGGAGAAATTAATGCCTCTTATGGGATCGAAATAAACGTCACTCACTTTCAAAGTTCGAAATATTATTCAATCTTTAAGCCATAACGTACAACTTTGCACGTACGTACATAAGTCAAAGTTGCCAAGCTACGTTAACACACAGGGGTGGAATTGTCAATTCAAAATCAGTAGTAACAGAGGTAGTAGAAGTATTCGCAGTAATGGAAAAGATTAAGGTTCGAAGATATGATTCGAGAAGTTTTTTCCAGAGAAATGAATTTAAAAAAAGAAAGGTGGTGAGGAATTCAGAAGATTACAATCCGAGAGAAGACAAAGAGTGGATGCATCTGGGCCACTGCGAATGATTTTGAACGATGTCATTGGAAGTCTCTAACCGGCAGTCACGATAGTCTCGCGGATCTCAACTGGGTAGCCTACACCTGCCAACATGACATAGTCCATTTCTCAGTGTCCTCAAGGATTTGTGCCATGTTTTGGTTTGGCCAACCCCAGGATTTCTTCTAGCATACCTCTACATCAGACAACATTGCTGGTTGAGGCAGTGGGTGGTTGGGCATTCGTAACACATGTCCCAACCACCTCAACTGATGAACGTTCTCTACTTCATCAACTGATCTGGCATTGTTACCTAGTATCTTTTTCGTTGCGATGGTCCCAGGATGTATGAGCATTGCTTCGAAGACACCTATGATCAATTACTAGTAACCTGCGAATATCCTCTAATCTTAATGGCTATGTTTCAGGCCTGTATAATAGAAAGGGACGGACATCTGAGTAGTGAACTCGTCCTTTGGTTAGCGGACGGATATCTCGCCTACACCATAAGTGACGCAAGTTGGCGAAAGCCAATCGAGGCTTCTGTATCCGTGCTGGGACTCCGTCAGTTACCAGTCCATCAGTACTGGTGTGACTCCCGAGATTTGTGAGGCGGTATACACACTCAAATACTTCACCTCTCATCACTGGTTCAGGTGACGACACGAGCCAATCGTGAAGCAATATTTCGCATCTGGAGGGAGAGACTCGCATCCCAAACATGCTTATATCGTCGTTTAAGGTGGTCGGTCAGAAGACTGCATCTTGTCAGTGTCTTCAACAGACAAAACCATATCATCTGTGTATTGTGAATCTTCTAGTAGAAGGTCCAACCCTTAGAAGTCAGACGACTAAACAGGGTACTCTAAAAGCATGTTGATTACAAAGTAAGAGAAGAATGGAGAAAGTGGACAGCTGTGACAAACACCACTTGAAATGAGTAATTCCGATGACGGTTCGCCATAAGCTCCCACTCGACTAGTGGTTTGCTAGTAGGGAGCCTGTACAAGGTTGATGTACTCCATGGCTACATCCTTCACTGAAATTCACTACCACAATACCTCACAATCGACAGAGTCGAACGCCATCTTAATGTCGAGGAATACTACTATTATAGGATGTCGGAATGTGTGTCTATGTTCTAGGACCTGATGAATTGCGAATATCTGTTCTCTACAACCACGTCCAGGTCGGAAAGCAGCCTGGTTTCCTCTAGTCTGCTCTTCACGATTTCTAGTGAGGCGTCGTAGTATTATGGAAGCCAACATGTCAGACAGTATATTAGTCAGCCTGACTCGTCTGTGATTATAACTGGAGGAATTTTGTCCTTTCTTATACACTGTGACAATCAGTGATTGAGACCAGTCGTATGTGAATACGTCCAGTTGGTAGATCCCATCTAAAATCTCAGTCAACCCAACTGTTGAAAATGGACCACTCAGACGGGTTGAATTACTGAGCATTTGTCAGTTCAGTAGCTGCCGCTGTAACCCACTGATTTTATCAGTTCCAGGAAGACAATGAAGCTTTACTGTCCAATTACTATTGTAATGTTGTTCAACACTGTCCACCTGCGTACAGAATCCAACTTCATACTTTTAATTAATATGTAGAAAAAACTGAGTATATTCAATTATGTATTCAAGCATTTCGTTTTGATGCAATCTTTATTTTTACAGCCTGGCAATGTGTATACTAAAGCGTAATATCTTCTCTTTGGGTTCAAGATTTAATTTGTATTTAACACCAGAAGCTCATGCGTTGTATAACTTGAAGTACCTATTTGACCACTTCCAGAATAGTGAGTCAAGTTAGCGTAACATAACTGTTCTTAATGCGTGTTTAATTGTAAATATTACTGTTAACTTATCTTAGTGCTTTTGACAAAACGATTAAGTGATACTTTTGCGATCAGCGATTTAGTTCTTGGAATAGCTATGTTGAAATTATTTACCTGCACATACGATTTCATATGTGCCAACAAGTAGCTGTATCTGTACCACAGTGACAACTAACAATCGAGACGAGTACCAAGCACAGAAAAAACTGAGACTGTTGTGTGTAAACAAATATCTAATTAATATACAAGAAATCAAAGTCACTGTCGAAAATGTTAGGAATATAAAAATATATTAATAAGTAGATTAAATGTCTCAAGTTTATATAAGAAACCTGTAAATATAGTTCAACACCAAGGGCATACCAAGCCTTCTTTGCTCAAAAATGATTGGTAATAACATATGTTACTCATTAGCAGTAAGTAATATAGACATAATACACAAGAGAGAACCAGATTTGCAGACAAGTGATGCAAGCTGAATTGACAATTACAATGTATTTTAACCTGATTTTTCTTGTACACTCTCAATCCACTGTCTCCTATTGATTTTTACTGCCAACAGTGATAATTGAATTGATCGAAATATCAGTTTATTCCCACATTTACACTAAGCAACTCCTAGATAATACTACTAACTGATTATGTCAATGTGCATTGGAGTGTTCAGTATATTAATCTGCCTGGATAGTATAACTGACCAAGTTATCAGATGACAAATGATGGAGCTGATGTTCATTAAGTATTTCATCAGTCTCCATTTATGTACCACAAAATAATCATATTTTATACGGATGAATAAAATTAATACAACTGTTGGCATAGAGGGGACTGGGATTTTAAGTTATGTATCATAAACTGGCTTTAGTAGGACAACCAATAAAAACCCGTAGTCTCTCTCGACAGATTTTTTTCCCATGTATGGAACTCATTAGCAGAGCTGAATTTAAATTTCCGCTCTGCACACTATTTAATCCATCCTCGTACAGAAGTCAAAGCATACTCAATAATGAATTTCATTAGTTGACTGATAACTTGCATGTAGATGTTTGTGTCCAGATAGTTAATTTATTTACAGTTGGCAGAAAGTTTCGGTTTAACTGTGTAATATATTGCGAGCATATTTGCATATGA